GCTGCGGAGGCTGCGGAGGCTGCGGGGGCTGCGGGGGCTGCAAGACGGACCCCGTCCGCGCCCCTCCCGGTCCTGCAGGCTCGCGCGGGGCACTCACCCTCAGTGAACTGTCTGGTCTTCGCAGTGGTCGGATGAACCTGCACGAAGACCTCTGCCGCGGGTCGCGCCCGGTGAGCTTTGCGGGAGACTGCCGGTCTTCCATCTCGCGGCTAAGCTGAACTGTCAAGGAACCCACTTTGTGCTGCAGCAACCTCAGCCCTCAGACTGTCCAAACAGCCAGCTTGTCAGGACACTCACCCTCAGTGAACTGTCTGGTCTTCGCAGTGGTCGGATGAACCTGCACGAAGACCTCTGCCGCGGGTCGCGCCCGGTGAGCTTTGCGGGAGACTGCCGGTCTTCCATCTCGCGGCTAAGCTGAACTGTCAAGGAACCCACTTTGTGCTGCAGCAACCTCAGCCCTCAGACTGTCCAAACAGCCAGCTTGTCAGGAGGCCAGTGTTTCTGAGAACCGAAACGTGCATTACAGCAAACTCCACGCTTTGAAGAGGGAAAGAAGACCAAATCCCAAAGCATCCAGTGATGAATTACAAGGGACTAACTGAAGATGTGCACATTTGCCCAGATCCCTTTAATCTAAATTAATTACACTTAAAATTTAAAGATACGTTTTCTTGTGCATTCAGTTTGCATATCTTGAACATAATTCACATTAATTTTTGAGCATCTAGTATATTTTTTTCATCCTGTTCCAGATGCTATGGAGGATGCAAAAAGCAACTCAATTTGTCCTAAAGTAGAATTTACGTATAGCACTGTGTATTGCTCCACTTTGAAACATAAAGTGCAAGGGTACTATTTAAAATGTCACTTGCTATGTAGCTAAGGTTGGTCTGTAACTCACTATGTAGCCCAGGCTGACCTCAAACTCATACCGGTTCTCCTGCCTTGGCCTCCCAGAGTGCTGGCGTTACAGTCATGAGCCACCGCACCTGGCTAAGTACTGTGCCTTTGAGGGATTGTACGGAGGTACAGGGATTAAACAACCTGCCTGAAATGACAGAGCTACTAGGTGACGGAGGTGAGATTAAAGTAAGGGATTCTGATATCTGAACCCAAACCCACCACCATTGAGAAAGGAGCAGCTACCAACCATTAATGCATGAACACTAAAATTAGTACTTACTTTTCAAGAGCCACTACATTATCTTCGTTTTTCCTTTTTTGTTAGTTTGTGAAACTGATATTGAAGAGCAGACTGAGTGTTTCATATAGTCTGGGTACTAGCTTTCTTTAGAATGACATCAGACTAACAATTTCAGACAGAGGTCTCTCTACTGTCCTTAGTGTTCCATTTCTTTTTGAGACAGGGTCTACCTGTAGCTCCAACTGACCTGGAACTTACTATGTAGACCAGGCTGGCCTTGAACTCACAGAGATTCACCTGCCTCTGCCTTCTGAGTGCTGGGATTAAAGGCATGTGACACCATGGCTGGCTTAGTGTTCTATTTCTAGGCTGTTTGACAGATCTTTGTGGAAGAGAAGGCTGTAATAATATCCCCATAGAAATCTGTGTTGGTTAATTCCTTCCTTCATTCAAAAATATGTATTGTGCATCTATAATATGCCACTTACTGTATATATAAGAAACAAAACAGTACTGTCTCAAGGAGCTATAATATAAATTATGGGGTTTTGCTAATACCTAATATAATCATAATTGCTTCCTTACCACCCCCCCTCCCCAAACCCTGTTGTCAGGTTAAGGATTCAATACTTGAAGCTTTGGGCATGGTGGAGCTCACCTGTAATCCCAGCACTGGGGAAGTGGAAGCAGGAGGTTCAGGAGTTAAAGGTCATTCTACACACACACACACACACACACACACACACACACGGCAAATTTGAGGCCAGCCTGGGCTACATGAAACCTTGTTTGAAAAACAAAAAATATGGACTTTATCTGAGATTTTTTACACAAGTATATACTTTACTTTCATCATATTCACGCCCATTACTCTCTCTTGTCGACCCCACCCCTGTCCTGCTGATCCCCTTCCTATTCCAAAATAATTACTCTTTTACTCTCCTCTTTTAAAAAATGTCTAGACTCTGCATGTGAGAGAAAACATGCATTATTTATTTTTCTGAGTCTGGTTATTTAACATGATGAGACCCAGTGCCAGCCAGGTACCTGAAAATGGCATAACTTAGGTTTTTTATGGCTGAATATTTTCTTTCTCAGTCATCTGTTCTTTTGATGGGCAGCAACGCGGATTCCATATCTTGCCATTGTGAACAGTGCCACAATAAACATACATGTGCAGAAATAAGAGCTTATGTCCTTGATGCAAGAATCTCTTCACACCCAATCTGCCAAAGAAACACAGGCACTGAGCTCTTTTGTTACTAGGACTGGTATTTGAAAATCCTGATATGAGACTGCTATGGGAGAATAAAAGAATCAGGGCTCGCATGAAAAAGACGATTTTCCATTGGAAATCTTTACTCTAAGCATTAAATATATTAAACATAGGACTTACCTATATCTGTTTATCCTCTTTTCCTTTCCTATAGTTTCAGGGTGAGAGAAGTCCCCTTATGTAGATTGTCAGCCCATTCATTTGTGCCTTTGGTTATGTTACCTTTTGTCCCTCCTTTTGCTTAATATGTCAGTCTGAACCCTTTCTCACTTACTGGTTCCCCCTTTGGCTTATAAATAGGATCAGCTTTAAGAAGCTTTTCTACTGACTTGTCCTACTTCAACTACTGTCTGTTATGGTTTGAAAATTTGTGTGTTGAGAACTTAATCCTCAATGCAACAGTGTTGGGAGGTGAGACCTAATAGTGATTAGGTCAGAAGAGCTTGGCCCCCCGAATAGGTTAATGTTATCACTAGTTGACTGATTGCGGAAGCAACTTCAGTCCTCCTTTGCTTTTGCCTTCTGCCTTCCGTCATGGTATGATGCAGCACAAAGTTCTTTCTAGATGTTTGTGCCATGGTCGGGCTTCCCAGCCTCCAGAATCACAAGCCAGGAAAGTTCTATTCATTATGTTTTCCAGTCTGTGGTATTGTTAGAGCAGCATGAAATAGATGAAGATGTTACCTAGTCCCTTTCTTATTAAACAATCTGCTTTATTGTTTAGAACAGTTTTAGATTTATAGAAAACTTGTTCCATCACGTATAGTCAAAAATACTTTCCCTCCCCGAATTGCCTCTATACTTTTGTTGGGATACAATTGCCCATTGTTGTCGGTGTTTGCTTATCTCTGAGCTCATCAAGTTGTACAAATTAAATGTATGCAGTTCTTTTTCTATCAGCTATTTCTCAATAAAGCTGTTAAAAAACCTTTGCTCATTGGGGGGGTGGACCTTTTTCTGGAGTGTGTGTGTGTGTGTGTGTGTGTGTGTGTGTGTGTGCGCGCGCGCATGTGTGCATTCACTAAATATTGAACCCAGGACCTTATACATGATAAGCAAGCTCTCTACTGCTGATCTAAAATCCCCAGCTCTGTATTTCTTCTTTATGACCATGGTTCCTGGCTTATAACTCCTTCCCCAGAAGTGGATTATAGAAACTCATCTCTCCTTGTCTTTAGGTGGCTATATAGAAATTCTCTCACCTACCTTGTCTGATAGTAAATCATAAGATCCCTCATTCCAGAGTGATCCTGCTCCACACACCTGAGGAAGGAATGCTACATAGACCAAGAAGAATCTGAACAGAGAGGCCTTCTTGGGGTTCTTTACAAGTCTCTTAGCAACCATATCTGTACCATAAAGCCTACATAAATACTCCAAAGGACAGAATTTGGAAGTTAAACATGTGGATGCTTGCAGGAAGGTGATAATAGATGCTTCCACATGCCAGGAGGGTTATCTACCCAGCTCCAGGGGGGCAGAGATTCCTGAACTTGAGATCCCTTCTGACAAAGACCTATGTGTCTCTTTATCTGGCTGCTTATTTGTGTTCTTTATGATAACCTTTATGGGGCTGGAGAGATGAGTTCCTGGTTAAGACCACTGGCTGCTCTTGCAGAGGACCCAGGTTTGGTTTCCAAAACCCACATCCTAGATAACAACCATCTAATTCCAGTTCCAGGGAACCAGATGCCCTCTTCTGGCCTCTGTAGACGTTGCGTGCATGGGTACCCTTGCATGCAGGTGAAACATTCATACACATAAAATAAATCATTGCTGGGAGTGGTGGTGCATACCTTTAATCCTACCACTTGGGAGGCAGAGGCAGGTGGATCTCTGTGAGTTCAAGGCCAGCCTGGTCTACATAGTGAGTTCCAGTTCCAGCTGGGGCTACAGGGAGACCCTGTCTCAAAAAAGACCTAAATAAATAAATAAATAAGAAAATAAATAAATAAATCTTTTTAAAAAATTTAGGGAGAAAAGAAAGTCTTTGATTGGTGCCTAGGAGATATGAAGGAGAAGTAAAGGCAAGAGTAGTTAGCATTA